ACCCCTCGGTACCTGCTCCAGAAGCAGCCGGATGAGGTGCTCGTGCGTGCGGCGGGCCTCACAGCCCTGCCGCACGTAGGCCGGCGACACCAGCCTCTCACCGGCCGCGAAACTCTCCGGGTTCATATTGGCGGTAGCAACGGTGGCGTTAGAACAGTTGACACCGGGACGAACACCCACTAAAACCAGGACGGCACTCGCCGCCCGGACGGTACGGCAACGCCTAGGGCCAAACTTCTGCGTCTCGTTCTCGCACCTGCGCAAAGTGCCCCAGAAAGTGGACCCGAAACTGGTGAATTGGAGCATGCGCGGCGGGCTCCCGCGGGTGCTGAACATTAGCCCCGCCTCGCTGCCTCTGATTGGTCAGGTTAATCCTTGGGCTTTCTGAGCCGGACTTGAAGGACTTTGCACTGGTGAGTGAGGAAAGGGAAGGGCCACTGCGTGGGGGTCTCGAAAGAAAAAATGTCCTAAGTTACCCTGTGTCCCAGTCCTGTTGAAATGGTGAGATTTGCGCCGAGTCTGTGCTTCAGTTTCCCAAATTCCAGGACATTGCATTCAACCTTCATACGTCTCACAACTCTTAGGAAAAGCAATTCTCACTCCTTTTCTCCTTTGCACTACAGAAGTTTTAACCCTACTTCCCGCCGCCTTATATGACAGACATTTGTCTTATATGACAGACATTTGTCATTACACACACACACGAATGTAAACTCTCTACAGACAGGTGCTTGGTTTTTACTGCCATACCCACCCCCACCCCCACTCCCAAGCTCCTAGAATAGTGCCCAGAATACAGTCAGGGCTAATTTTTTTTAATTTGCATTAATGATTTACGTTGACCATTCAACAACCTAATGCTAAGTGCCGGAGATACAGAAATGAAAAGGCAGGATCCCTGCCTTCGATTTCCTTACCATCTTCCCTTTAGGAGAATCTACAGTAATTCCAGACATTGCTTTTGTCCCGGGGCTTGCTAGAGCCCATTTGCACTGGTTCCCACTTGCTTGCAAGAGCTGATGGTTAAATGTTCAGTAATGTTGTGAGCTGGTTTTTAAATGTAGCTGTTCTTTAACAACAAATTAGATAAGTTTATAATTAAGTTAACTGTATTAAAAGCAAAAGTAACAAATGCTCGAACTCATCACTTCCTAAGTGTTTTACTATATCTTACTATTACCTATGCTTTTGACATTATTTACGTCGATTGTATTTGTATAGGGGAAATGGGATGTAATGGTGTGCTGATGCACATCTCTATCCAACATCCTTTTTAGGTGGCATCATGTTGGTAGCTTGAAATGGGGGAGTATTTACACCATGGAAACCAGCAAATGCTGAAAATCAGGCCCTTATCTCTCTACCCCCGCCCCACCAGGAGTCAGTGATTTAACATGTACCAACTCACCACTGTTCCTACTGCATGTTCTCAGGGCATCCTGCCATTTATCAGCCATGGTACTTATCCAATTGCATTTCAGTTAACTTTCTGTCTTCCTTAACTAGACTTGGAGCTCCTAGTTTACAGGGCTATATTTCATATCTGTGTTCAAAGCACACACTGAACACATAATAGATGTTCAAGCAAAATTTGTTGAATGATGTGGACAATTTGAGAACTGTAAAACTACACAGAAAGATAAATTGCAAAAATAGTAAGGAATTAGCTTATTTTTTAAAAAAACAAGCATTGGCCTTCAAACTTTGGAAAAGTTGAGATCTTATTCCCAAAATGCAACTATTTTTACAACTTTTCTTTTGGAAAAGCCTTCCAAGCTGCTTTGTAGATCACATGCAGGATATGCAAAAAGCCCAAGATCCATCTCATTACTGAATGCACACACTAGGCTTTGAGCCAGCAGGTTCTCTCACATTATTCACCAGTCTTCATTTGGAAAAATGTTTGTTTCCAAAATCTAAATCCATCAAGACATGCCATCATTGAAGTTTTTTTTTTTTTAATGCTGGCTGTGGAGACAATTTCAAAAGAAGTGTTCCAAAATTATTGTCACCCATTCACTCATACAATGAAAAATTTTGAGTACCTATTATTTCTAACAGATAGGGAAGCATCAGAATAATTTTATGGTCTTTACAAGATGGACCTTAAAAATAGGTCCAACATTTGTAAGTCTGAATTTTGCTTGTTGTCACTAGTTGTATGGCCTTGGATGCATTATTCATAGTCCCTTGAGCTTTGCTTTTTCTCATTTGTAAAAGAGGAACATGGAGGAGATAGTTATGATGATTAAATGAAATCTAACTTCTCAATGACATCTTCACCTTGATAGACTGATTATACAAGTGGACAAGGGCTAGATGAGAACCCCAACCCACAACCTCAGCAGCAAGTAGCCCAAGAAGCCAACCCAAAACCCCTGCAGCAATCTGCCCAGAACAATTAGAACACGGTCCATAACTGCCAGTTTCCCAACTTCTTCACCTGCTTCCACCTCAGAACCAACCAGAGAAAGCCAAATATGCCCCCCAAACCAATGACATACGATGTTCATTTCTTTAACCAACCTCCATCTTCTCCTTGCCTATAACCGCCAACCAGAGCACACCTGAATTCTTCCTCATTCTTTTACCATAAAGCTTTTCCACTGCCCTGCCTGCCTTTGAGTTGTCCCAATGCAAGTAGAGTGACTATCTCCCTTGCTCTAGAAAGCTCTAAAAATCTGTTAGTTATTTGGTTGGTCTCCGTTTATTTCCACAGTTTTCCTGGAAGACTCCATAGAGATATGGTCTGCACTGTCCAGCCTTCCACCAGATGAGGTACCCACAGAGGCCCCTTGTACCTTGCTGCTTGTGGCTTTGTCAAGTCTGTGCCCTCGTGGTATGTCAGTGCTGGATATGAACTCTGCTGTCTTTGCATTGAGTTCCTCAGCTATTTATTCTAAATTTGGTGCCCAGGTTTTGTTACTGGTTCCCATTTGTTAGGCATCCTTGGTAGAATCATTCTATTCCTTTTCATCCTTGTTGGCTCCCTTTTTTACTTCTATTTTGTATTGTGCTGCCTACAAGTGTTGTTTGTCGTAGGAAGCAGAATCACAGGGTGGAACACAGGCCCAGGCCCTTTAAGCCTATTGTTGGAGCGGCCTTAGAGACCAATGAGTTTGCAGTTCTCTCCAGACTGGCATTCATTTGGACATACTTTGTTGGGGTAACCAATAGCACCTTTGCCTGAACTAAAATACCTGTCAGAACATTTTGAGAGGGGTTTAGAATAAAAATGAGATAGAATCCAAAATAAACTATGATCTTGCAGATTAAACAGCTTAAGTGGCCCACTACCCAAGCCACCATTTTGACAAAGACAGCATAGATAGTGTAAACAGAAGGGACACTGGAAAAAAGAATGTCCAGTTTTAGAAAAACCAAGGTAAAGAAAATCCCTCAATTCTGATCAATGTATGCGCTCTGGAGAAGGAAAAAGCTCCCAATACTCTGATTTTTACCCTAAACACTCAAGTTCAACAAATATAGATGGTCACATTCATCAATTCCTGGTAGGTAAGGGTGTTCCTCTTACTACATTAAACCCCTCATCTTTCCTCTACCTCTTCCTATCTTTCAAATCACCCACATATTTTTTCTATCTCCCAGCCCTTAACTGTAACCCTTAGGCACTTGAATGAGAATCATTCCTTCCTACTCTATGGGACTTTACCCCTGCAAATTTAATAAAGAGAGACTTACTCTGCAAGTGGAATTGTAATATTAAATGTTCAACAGAGGAACTACTTCTTAAAGTTCCAGAGAAGTTTTCTGTTCATAACCAAGTTGTGTCTGCCCTGATAGACCTTTGCCTTCCCCATTATATTCGATACACACCCAGATAATGGTCTTAACATCGAACCTGACATTCTATGACCTTCAAAGTCCACTGACACCGAAAAAATAATTGGGGTAGAACAGAGTGAGTAGATAGATCCTACCAAACTGTTGCCCAAACACCTCAATATCCCTTAAAGTCAGAAACAAAGCAAGGGCTCAAAGCTATAATTGAAGGTCTTATATCTTTCAACTATATAGGTCTTCTCAGACCCTGCATTAGCCCTTATAATGCTTTGGTCTTGCAAGGAAATAAACCAAATGGGTAAAGACATCGATTTTTTCAAGACTTCAGGACAATTAACAAAATTTTTGTTTCTCACTTGCCGCTAGTACTGATCTTGGCATCAGTTCTACCTGAAGCTACTTGCTCCACTGTACTGGACTTTTGCTTGCTTTTTTTTTTTTTTTTGATGTGCCAATCAGGATACCACATTGCTTTCAGTCATCGTGTCTCTCTAGTGTCCTTGGTTTATGACAATTTCCCAGTTTCTTCTTCTTTTCCATAACTATGACAGTTTTGAGGTGTGCTGGTTAGGTATTTTCTAGAATGTTTCATCATTGATCTTACTAATTCTCGCTTTGTTCTCTATTTCCCTAAAAATCTGGTCTCATCTTTATTATTTCTTTCCTTCTACTTTCTTTGGGTTTATTTTCTATTCTTTTACTAACTCTTAAGATAAAATCTTAGCCATTTTTTTCTTTTCTGCTATATGCTTCCCTCTCTCACCCCCACATACACACACTATTAGCAAAACCCATTATGGTTTCCATGAAAAAAACTAAGGGTGAGATGAGAGGGAGAATCCAGGTCCAGTGGCCAGGAAAACTGCAAGAAAGGAGGGGGGGCGGGGAGATATGCAGCAGGTGCCCAGGGAAGAAGAGAAGAGGCCAGATTTCCAATTGGGTTTTGAAATGAAATGTACACTCTAGAGCAGTGGTTCTCAACCTTCTGGCCCTTTAAATACAGTTCCTCGTGTTGTGACCCAACCATAAAATTATTTTCATTGCTACTTCATAACTGTAATGTTGCTACTGTTATGAATCGTAATGTAAATATCTGTTATGCAGGATGGTCTTAGGCGACCCCTGTGAAAGGGTTGTTCGACCACCAAAGGGGTCGAGACCCACAGGTTGAGAACCGCTGCACTAAATCCTGCTGTAAAGGTGGGTATAGAAGGAAGGCAGATCAAAAGCACCTGGTCCCTCTGACTTACACTAATATGAGCTAACGCTGAGCCTGCATGCCAGGTGCTGCTCTGAGGACTTTACCTGCAGTAGCTCTTCCAATCCTCCCAGCCACCCTATGGGCTAAGCCCAGAGCAGCCAGGTGAGACTGCACCATTAGTCAAGGGAAATAGCGAGGATTCACACCAGGCTGTCTGGCCCTGTAGGCTATGCTCTTAGCCACTTTCCCCCACGGTCAGAGCCAAGAGGCATCTCGGGCTCTCGGCCTTAGGCAGGTAATTATGCGGCCTGAAAGTTCTGTCCACTGGGATGTGGATGGAGTAACAAGAATGTAGCCAGAAATGTAGAGAGGACAGGTTGCCAAAGTATATTATTAAGTCAGCAAGCCCACTAAATCCCATGGGCAGAAAAGATCGCTGCCATCAGGATTCCTTGATTCTGAAAACCCAAAAGTCATCACAGACATCTCCACTCCGCCACCACTCAGATCTCATCTATCGGCAATCTTGTCAGGCCTCACCCCACCCCTTTCTCTCCACCTCCCCCACCACCACCTAGTCCAGGCCTCTGTCATCTCCCCACCGCGGAGGACAACCTCAGTGGCCTGGCTGCTTCCACTTTTGTGTATCATCTCCCATCCCCGTCTTGTCCCACTCCGCAGAGATAATTATCTTTTAAGTATCCATCAGATCACATCCTTCCCCTGCTTAGAATCCTTCAACTCTTTCCCATCACACTAAACATACAATCCAGACTCTTCACCTGGACTTAAAAGGCCTTGTAAGGTCTGGCCCTCATTGATATTGAGCACTATCCTCCCTCGAGCTGGTGGGCTCCCACCCATTGACCTCCTTGAAGAATATGAAACACACCGCATGTTTATTTTCCTGCCTCCAAGCTGTGCTTGCTGCCTTAAATGATCTTCCCCTTCTCATCTTGCATGGAGGGCTCCTGCTTTTCCTTCACTGTAAATGTCACCTCCTCTGAGAAGCCTTCCCTGACCACGTTATCAAAGTGGGAACCTAGTTTAAAGTAAAAACGTATTTTCCCCCAAATTATTTTATGAGATTACTTGTGTAAGCAACTGGATTAGAAGCTTCT